GGGGACCGCTTTGCAGAACACCTATGCTCGGTTCGCAATAAACAACTGCACCTCCCAGTCGCGAACCATTTCAACTCCCCCTCCCATTCCTCAGACGACATGTCCATCCTGGGCCTCCTGCAGTGCCACAACGATGCCACCCGAAGGTTGCAGGAACAGCAACTCATATTCCGCTTGGGAACCCTGCAGCCCAATGGTATCAATGTGGATTTCACAAGCTTCAAAATCTCCCCTCCCCCTACCGCATCCCAAAACCAGTCCAGCTCGTCCCCACCTCCCTAACCTGTTCTTCCTCCCACCTATCCCCTCCTCCCACCTCAAGCCGCACCCCCATCTCCTACCTACTAACCTCATCCCGCCCCCTTGACCTGTCCGTCCTCCCTGGACTGACCAATCCCCTCCCTAACTCCCCACCTACACTCACCTTTACTGGCTCCAACACCGCCTCTTCGACCTGTCTGTTTCCTCTCCACCTATCCTCTCCTCTATCCATCTTCTATCCGCCTCCCCCTCTCTCCCTGTTTATTTCAGAACTCCCTTCCCCTCCCCTATTTCTGATGAAGGGTCTAGGCCCGAAACGTCAGCCTTTCTGCTCCTATGATGCTGCTTGGCCTGCTGTGTTCATCCAGCTCTGCACCTTGTTGTCTTGGATCCTCCAGCCTCTGCAGTTCCTACTATCTCTGACACGGGTTCCCTGCTCAACTGGAAAACTATAAGTGAGCATAAAATTGTCACATCACCCACTATTACCTCACTTTTCAGGGATTTAACAGCCCAGATGCATTTTAACCTCCCTTTGGCCGTAAAATATTCCACCAACAGTTAAATGCAACAACATTTCATTAGAACCACAAAATGGAAGAGGTTTAATTAGTCAAATAGCTGGTGAAGTTTCTCCATGCTGCAAACTTCAAAGTGAAGTAATTCTGCAGAATCAGCAGTTTCAGATACTCTCCTTTTAGCCTGTGAATTATTATTGTTCCATTGGCAGCATGGTGGCTCAGTAGTTAGCACTGCTAGCTCGTAGCACCAGGGAACCGGGTTCAATTCAATTTCAGCCTTCGGTGACAGTCTGTGTGGAGTTTGTACATTCATTCTGTATCTGTGTGTGTTTCTGCCGGGTGCTCCAGTTTCCTCCCGCAGTCTAAAGATTCATAGATCAGGTAAATTGCCCATGGTAAATTGTCCCATACTGTCCAGGGATATGCAGGTTAGATGGGTTAGCCGTTGTAAATGTGGATTACAGTGATTGGGTGGGGGTTTGGGTTTGGATGGGATGCTGTTCAGAGGGTTAGTGCAGACTTGGTGGATCAATTGATCTCTGTCTGCACTGTAGGGATTCTGTGATTCATTGGAAACCACTATTCTTAGGACTTGCTATGCTATTTCAGGAAATTCACATATGTTATAGTACGTTTTCAGCAACAATGTGTAAAAACAACTTTTTTTTGGATTGTGGCCTCACAAATATTAAAAAATGTTGTTTGAAACCAAGGGAATGTAGAAGATAATGTTGAAATTTTTAAAAAAATGCTTTTGGAATTCATTGTATGATGTATCTATTATGTAGCTTTGTTAAAGCATTGGGGAGGATGCAAGACACCTTGACTTTCTGGAAGATTGTTCAGGCACACTTCTGTCCAGTGACAGACTTTTGATTGGTTTTTCAACTAGGACCAATTGAATGTTTTCAGCATTGTAAAAGTCTTTTTTATTAGTTCCTGGGTGCGTGGCTGCAGCTTTTTGTTTGAACAATACAGCAGAAACAGTCAACCTGCGAAGAAGAAGACTTTTTTTTCTTTCTTGCTCTGGCTCTGGCTCTGGCTCTGGCTCTGGCTCTGGCTCTCTCTCACTCTCTCTCTTGCTCTCTCTCTTCCCCCTCACCCCCATTTCTCCCCTGTCTTTGCCTTCTGAGGGTGGAGAAGTAAAAGAAAATTCCAAGCAGATAGTTATGGTCTTTCTCTGCAAATTCCCAATAGAAGTTCAGCAATCTGTGTGTCCACAGCTATGTGTCCTCATCAAAGAGCCAAAAGATCTGGGACAGAACTGAAGGATAATGCCTCATTGTTGCCTGTAATCTGGACTGGTGCCAGATCTGTGAATTACTGACTTTCCCTGTAATTTTTTTTGAGTCTGGTGACTTTTCATCAGGCAATGACTATTCATCAAAGTTGAAGACTCTTCGTCTGATGAATAGTCACCATAGATACTCCCAGACCTGCTGAGTTTCACCAGCAATTTCTGTTTTTGTTTCAGATCCCCAGCATCTGTAATTCTTTGTTTTATATTTTTGTCATATTTGTGCCTTGTCTTTTCTCCTTGTGTTTGTAGGTACGTGCATGGATTTTCTTTTAAAAAAGGAATAGAGTTAGGTTACAGAGAGTTCTAATTTAGCAATTTATGTTTCTTCTGTCCAGTTGTTTAAAAATAATCTGTTTGCAACAACTGGCTGTTTTCTTTTTAAGTGCAGAAACCTGGTGAGTGTTTTCTTTGAACCTGGGTATGGCAGTCACATAAAGTGGGGACTTTGGATAATTTGATTAAATCTTTCACATTTGTGATGACTACGAGAATAGTGGGGTATTGATCTACAATGTACTGCCCCAGTGAGTTGTGACAAAGGTTGGTGGCTAATCTGAGCTTTTGGAACACTAACAACATAAGATTAGATGTGGAGTTAGAATTTATCCTGGGATGGATTAGTAAGGGACTTGAGTCTTCTTGAGGTTGAGGGTCAGACCAATTCTTTAGTATGCTTCTGTGAAATGGTGAAAAGTATTTTTGAAACGTCATTTCATTGTTCCTAAAGATGGAAGCATGGAAAGACCACTTTTATTTTTGTTCTGTGAATTTAAAAAGGAGAAAAAATATTGCTTTAAACCAAGGAACTGTGGAAGACGATATTACAGATTTTTAAAAAATGAGTTACTAGAACTCATTGTACGTTGTATCGACAATGTTTCTTTGTTCAAGCAAATGGAGGAATGATGTTAGATACTTCAGTGGGTGTGTGTCTGAATCAGTTTTGCCCAGGGACAGACTTTTTTTGTTGCTGAAAATATGAGACATGTTAGTGCTTAGAAGATCTGCTTTAGAGACAAAATATGTGCAACTCTTTAACTGTAATTTTTTGAACTGATTTTGGACTTGAATATGAAATTGTCAATTTACTTGGCCAAAGCTATTGATGGTATTTCATCTCAGAATAACTCATTATTCTGAGAGTTGTAGTGAGACAGCGCATTTGGATCTAACCATCAGCTGCCATTTGCTCTTTGTGTCATGGCTACTCAGCATTACTTATGGCACTTGTCAACGCTCTGCCTAGAAAATGTAGTTTGTCACATTGATGCATGTATCAGAGAGCCAAATAACTATGCTGTCTGTCAGAGGTACAAACGGCTTTTATTTTGAGAAACCAGTACATGAATGAACCTGAGAGATAGAAGGAAATTGCTTGCCCATTTTGATGTGCATGATTATCTCCTATAGTATATTCTGAGCTAAGTGTACTCAACAATGCGGATGAAACTGACGGGTTCTTGTTAATGAATTTTCAATGAAAACAGATCCCAAATGTTCTTCAAGGTTGTAATTTGGATGATAGCTGAATATTTACATGTATTTCTTTTATGAATTTCAGGCCCTTGCTGTGCGGAAAGCCTATATCTTTGATCACTGGAATCAGTTTGATGTATTCATTATCACATTAGCCACAGCTGATATTGTTATAGACCAGTTATTTGAACGCAGCGTGCACAAGATTCGTACTGTCCGAATCTTCAGATTGGTGCGACTTGCTAGAGTACTCCGACTTTTAAAGGTAAGGGAAATTGCATTACAAAGGTAAGATGTACGTTATTGCAATTAGGGAAAACATGTTGCAGAGATCAAAAGGAAGGAGGTGGTAACACAGTGTGGAACTGGAGGAACACACAGCAGGCCAGGCAGCGTCATGGGGGGGGAGGAAAGTTGATGTTTCAGGTTGGGTCCCGACCCAAAACATCAACTTTCCTGCTCCTCTGATGCTGCCTGGCCTGCTGTGTTCCTCCAGCTCCACACTGTGTTATCTCTGACTCCAGCATCTGCAGTTCTTACTATCCCCAAAAGGAAGAAGGTGTAGTTTTTGTATTTCACAATTGATATCAGATGGGACTGGTCTTGGTACAGTCACAATCTGATTTGCTGAAATGCTTAAGAGATTCATGACTAGCACAACTAGGGCTGTAGATAGGGCGTTAAATTGTACTAAATCTTGGGGTTGGGTTGTGGGGGGGAGGGTTCCGTTGCATAGTAAATTAAAGAAAATCGAAGTGTGAGGAGAGGGTCGGAATATGTGTTAGTGAGGCTGATTGTCACCAGCAAATGAAAAGAATGTCACATTGCACCAATGCATCATACAACAGTAGGGAAAATTGATAATAGGATAAACTTAGAAGCTTTGTATCCGAATGTGCGTAGCATTTTGTACATTATTAATGACTTAACAGTGCCAATAGGACCAAATGGGTATGATTTACTTGAGATTGCAGAGACCCGTTTATAAGGAGATCATTGCTGGGTGTTGAATATCCAAAGATATTCAGTGTTTCAGAGGTATGGACAAAAGGGAAAAGGAGATGGTGTAGCTGTGTTAGTAAAGAAAGAGATCACTATTGTAGTGTGCAATCATTTTGGCACTGGAGATCATGACATAGAATCAGTCTAGGTAGAAATAAGAAACAGCGAGGGAAATAACTCCATGATGGGAGTAATCCATAAGTCTCCTAATAGTAATTCCACAGTAGAGCATAATGTAAACTAGGAAATACTGGGGGCTTGTAAGAAAGGTACAAAAATATACTGGAGCAATTTTAATTTAACAATAATGTGCATATTGACTGAATAAATCAAGTTGGCAAGGATAGCCTTGAAGGAGAAGTCTTAGAGTGTATAAGAGACTCTCCACAGGCTGAGCTGAGGCTGCAGGTCTGCAGCTAGGCTCAGGCATCTGAAGAAGCGGCAGTGACTCAACCATGGGCAGGTTTGCCGACTGCTTCATGCTGGTGAACCGTGGCGCGGACACTGAGTTTAGCCCGAGGCCCATGGCTGGCTCTGGCTTGGATGCAGTGGTTGCAGAGGCTTAAGTTCAGGGGTGGAGGAGCCTGAAGCCAGGCCCATGGCTCCAGCTCAGGCATGGTGGTTGCAGGAATGTTGACAGAGGTGGAGCTTGTAATCGAGACCTCAGAGCCCATTCTAGAGATCCTAGAGCCCTTAACAAGAAGAGGGAGGCCACCTTTTGAAGGAATCGTAAAAATGAACTCTATTGCATTAATAACTTGCATTATATTCAGTCTTTCAAGATAGTGCACGAGCATGGTGACATTAAACAGCGTTTTTCACTGTATTTGTATACACGTGACAATAATTAATCTAATTTCATCTAAGGTTGGTTCCCACATTGCTCCAAAAACAACCAGGAACAAGCTATTTTGGATTTAGCATTATAACTAGATGGAGTAATGAGATGGGATTACTTAATGATCTCATAGTAAAGTATTCTCTAGGAAAGAGTGCTCATAGCTTGCTGAAATTTCATATTCACCTTGAAGATGAAAAACTCAAGTTCCACATGAGTGTTTTGGTGTTAAAGGTATACACATAAGCATGAGGACAAATTTGGCCTTAGTGGTCTGGGCAGATAGACTAAAAGAAAGGGCAGACACTGAAGCAGATATTTAGTTCCTCCCAATTAAAATATATTTGAGAGAGGAAGAAAGACGGTAAGAAGGAGAAATAGATTCCATGGCTAAGCAAGAAAACTAAAGATAGCATGAAGGCAAAAGCTAAGGTATACCAAATTGCATAGATCAGTGGCCAGCTGGAAGATTGGGCAACTTTTAAAGACCAACAAAGGGTTACTAAAAAAAGTAATAAAAAGAGTAAAGATAAATTATGAATAAACTAGCGCAAAATACAGGAGTGGATAGCAAAAGCTTCTATAAGTGTATAAGAAGGGAAAAGAGTACCTAAGGTGAATGTTGGTCCCTTTGAGGATGAACTGGGGAAGTGATAATGTAAAACTGTATATTGTAAAACAACATAGTAAAATACAGTGCAAAGCTTCAACTGTTGCCACAATCCGGTGCCATTTTGAATACTTTAAGAATAAAAAGATAAAGCTGAGAGAGAGTCCATCTTCATTCTGCCGCCTCCACCAAATTGTGTTTGACTAATTTGCTAGTGCTCTTAGAATATCTAACAAGCAGTGTCTATAATGGGAGTCTTGCAGATGGGATGTATCTGAACTTGCAGAACGAATTTGATGATGTGCCGCACAAAAGGTACATAATGTGAGATCACATGGGTCTAGGGGTAATAGATCAGCTCAGATAGAAGATTGGCTAACCAACATAAAGCAGAGAGTTGGGATAAATGGATCTTTTTCTGGTTGTCACGATGTACCTAGTGGAGTGCTGCAGGGCTCAGTCCTCGGGCCCAACTATTTACAAACTATGTTATTGACTTGGTCGCAGGAATAGAACGTACTGTAGCTAAATTTGCAGGTGACACTATGTAGGAAAGTAAATTACAATGAAGAAGTAAGAAATTTACAGGTGGATATAGATAGGTCAGGTGAATCACCAAATTTGGCAGAAGGAATTTCATGTGGATAAGTGTGAGTTTACACATTTTAGTCAGAAGAATGAAAAACCAACTAACTATCTAAACAGAGAGAAACCTCAGAATGCTTCAGTGCTGAGAAACCTGGGCATCCTCGTGCATCAGCAGAAAAATAGATGTAGGTAATAAAGAAGGCAAATGCAATTTTGGGTTTTATTGCTAAAGGAATGGAAAATAAAAGTAGAGAAGTGTTGTTGCAACTGTACAAGCCATGGCGAGACCACTGTTTTTGTCCCCTTACTTGAGGAAGGATGTAATTGTATTGGAGGAAGTTCAGAGGAGGTTTACTGGATTAACTCCAGGGATGAAAGGCTTGTCTTATGAAGAGAGATTGATCAGCTTAGACCTAATACTCACTAGAGTTTAAAAGAATGAATGGAGACCTACTTGAAGTATATAACATGCGGAAAGGAATTGACGAAGTAAATGTAGTGCAGGTATTTTCCCTTGTAAGGCAATCTAGAATGAGAGGTTAAAATTGTTTCTGCAGATGCTGGAGAATCTGAGATAACATTTTTTTTTTTTTTTTTTTTTTTTTTTTTTTTTCTGACTAAAATGTGTAAAC